GCACGTCCGCGACTTGCGAATAGCGTTGCGAATTTGATGACGCGTTGCTTCGATTCATTTCGAACAGAAATCGTAGCGTTGCGAACATAGAAACTAGACGCGTTTGTTTCCTCGCATTATTGAAGTACAATCGCTTCGAATATAGCGTTGCGAACTATAAACGCGTGTTTTTTCAACTGTGCAATTCTATCAGACTTTTTCAAAGTCTTCAGAGTCTTGTCATTCTCTCTCTCTCTCTCTCTTTCTATAAAATAAAAAGTAATCTTTTTCGGATTTCTGTTCGTTGCATTAGCGTAGCGACAAGATAATCGCGTTGCCAGTAGCTTCGTTTCGACTTTTCAGGCGCCCATGCCGCAGCTGCAACAATGGACCCCCCCGAGGTCCCAGCGATCAGCTCGGTTGGGCACATCGCGACTTTTTGCGCATCCTAGCGTTGCGAAAGCACAAATAATAATCGCGCGGCTTTCGTCTCTTCGAAGATCGACTTCGAAGTTAGCTTTTGCGGGAAGGATCGTCGCGTTGCCAAAAGTAGCTCCGTTCGTCTTTCAGGGCCCACGCCGCAGCTGCAACCCTCCGCAGTGCGGCATTCGCGATGTTTCTTTTTTCATAGTGTTGCGCGACGACGATGTAAAGAGACGGTTTTGCGTTAGCGTAGCGATTTCACAACGCGGGTTTTGCGTAAAGAGAGATAGCCGGAGGTACCGGGCCTCGCAGCATAAGACCGCGAAACACCATCTCTGTGCAAAAAACACAGCGTTACTAGACCTCGGTCTATATCCGGGGCGGCCGGCACGTAGAATGTTCATTCCGCGTGCCGGAACCACCGTCCCGGACGAAGGGGCGCATCCGTCCTGGACGTCACGACGTCCAGGCGGGTGGGTGGTGCGTAGCGTAGGAATCCGGGGTGGATTCCAAGGGTCTGGGGACAGACCCTGTCGCTAGGCTATCTCGAAATAATAGCGTCGCGAGGTTACCCCTTTCGCGCGATCCCTTATCGTTGACCCCTTATTGTTACTAAGGGGTCGCGCATCCCTCCGCGCGATTGTCTTAGCGTAGCGAAAATGATCGACGCGTTGCATTAGCGTTTTGCGAAATAAATATGCCGCACTGCGAGCAGCCGTTCCAAGGATCGCAGCATCGTCGCGCGCGATCGGCGTCGATTACCCCTTTAGCGTCGCGTGGAAACGGACGAAAGTGCACGGGAGTTTTCGAATCGAAAATTAACATCGAGATGAACGATGCACTCTGCTCGCGTTGCTGTTTTTATCCCTCCCTTCGACTTCGATCTCCTCTTTGCATACAAAATACAGGGTGTCCCGTAATTATGTCAACATCCGGAAAGGGGTGAACTCTGAGGTGATTCGAAGCAACCTCTTTCCTTTGCGAAAATTCGCGGCTTCGTTTAAACGAAGCAATTGCAGTTTCGCTAAGGAAACAGTTGCTTGAAATGACCTCGGGAACCGCTCTCATTTCTTGTACTATAATTTTGGGACGCTCTGCGTAATCGTAATTCTCCTGTTCGCGGAGTCGATATTCATACGATGCGCTGGAAGATCGGTACTGCAGGGTGCTGGAACATTTTATTCCTTTCTTTTTTGGGGAGGGAGGTGCGAACACGTGGTGCATATGCCCACCGGACCATTGCGTAGAGTAGAAAACTCGTTGTTGCGTTCCGAGATGAAGAAATGATAGATAGCAGTTGACGCAACATCGCGATACGCGCCGCTACGTCCATTTCGCGGCGTGTTTTAACACGAAATCTCGTTTGCCGTTCCAGCAATGGAACCGTCAGCGTATCCTCGATCGTACGAAGGTACCGACATAAAAAAAAGAAGACGCATTAAGTTGTGTCAGCTATGTCGGTACGCGCGACGATACCGCGACAACCGTTGCATCAGCATCTGATGCAGCGGGTGCCGCGGTTATTTGAGCGCCTTGCGATTCGAGGTGTAAATCGTTCTGTAGCTATTTTTTTGGACGTAGCGACGCGTATCTTTTGCCAATCGATGGCGCGTGAGCGTTAAATGCTGGGAACGTGACAACGCGTTTCACCGGCATGCAATTTTGTTTTTTTTTTCAAACAACGCAGTGGTTCGATCGCGTTAGTGGTAATTGTTTTCGACGATTTTATGCAACGTATTTCGTATCTCGTCGTCTTCGGAAGAAACGACGAGATATCGATCTACGAGTAGATCGATGGAGGGAATGGGGTGTTCGTTGCGACTTGTAACATCGATTTTCCAGTGTCCGCATTTTCTAATGATAGAATGTAATTGTAATTCTGCTGCTCGGCGTCGCGTTGAAATTGTTCGATGATATGGAATTACGATTATAAAAGTATGCGAAGAGGATGATTCCATTGTAAATTCAGCGGTTCGTCGCGTTTTTGTTTAGAGTCACGAGATTTTTTCATTTAAAGTCACGATTTTTTCTCATTTAGAGTCACGGTTTCCATTTACATTGAATAATTTTCCTTCGGCTTCTAAACGAAAATGGGCAGTTTGGTAAAAAGAGATGCGATTATTCGGCTCGTTTTTATAATTGTCGATTCGTCAACAATCCTAAAAACGAGGTACAATCGTATCTCCTTTTTCCCAAATTTGTTTAAAAGCTGAACGAGAATTAGGAAAAATTTGCTGTAGCGTCGATAAAAATGAGAGTGCGCCGGGAGTTTTTCCATTATCAATGAAATAAATTAGCGTCGCGACAAAAAAATATGCACTGCTCTCGCGTTTGCTTTTGTATAGTAATGTGTGTATGTGTGTGTGTGTCTGTATTTTTAACACGTTGAGCGCCATGTCGGGTTACATACGGTGGGTGACACTAATTGTTGACCAATTTTGAAAATTCATTTTCCAATGTCATTCATTCTGATGAACGTTAACTTTCTAGTTTTCGTTTAATTAATTAAATTACTTTGCTTTGACTTTGAGGAAATTTTAGTGGTTGATTGATGGCACTGAACGTGTTAAAAATAGCGTTGCCCAAGCGCACAAGGTCCACTCGTGCGTTTGTTTGGAATACGTATTGAGTGGACCACCGTTTATCGAATGTGACTGCTCTTTTTATTCTTTTTCTTTCAGGTGTCAATGCAAGGTTAACACACACTTGTCTACGTGTCACTGGTTGAGCCTTGCTCACTTACACGCCCAAGCGGATTGAAAATCAGTGTGAGAATTGAAAGAATCCATTTCTGGATGAATATTGAATATTTTTCGGAAGTAACAACGACAAGATTTGTTGACAATGGGTACGTACGTAACCGATGAGATACACGACACCATTTGTACAAGGAAATTTTAAGAAAGGTATTTATACCGATCCCGAGAATTTATATTTTTATTTGTACTCATCTTTTTAGGTACGACACTAATCTTTTTAGGTACGATACGGGTCTTTTTAGATTTTCGCCGAGGGATATCGCCGAGGGATATCGCCGAGGGATATCGCCGAGGGATATCGCCGAGGGATATCGCCGAGGGATATCGCCGAGGGATATCGCCGAGGGATTATTTATTAAGACATTACTTATTAAGTCATTAATTATTAAGTCATTAATTATTAACCCTTTGTGTACTCGACTGGCAACTCCCAGGCACCATTAAAAACTATTTTGAAACGTCACGTCAAAACTATTTTAAATTTTGCATTAATTTGGCTTCGAGTGCAAAGGGTTAACGCTAGATTTACGGAGCACAAGATAAACAGCTGTTTTATTATTATAAATTGAATAAATAACTCGTAAATGTATGTTTACAGTATGAATTAATCGTGAATTAAAAAATTAGTGACCAGTCATATTAACGGGTTCCGTAAATCTAGTGTTAAATCATTATTTACTAAGTCATTAGTTATTAAGTCATTAGTTATTAAGTCATTAGTTATTAAGTCATTATTCATTAAGTCATTATTCATTAAATCATTACTCATTAAGTCATTATTCATTAAATCATTAGTTAGTAAGTAAAACTTGTAAGAAAGGGAGCCATAACGAATTCTGGTTTCGTTCTGGCTCCGCTTCGAGTCTCTAGTCACAGCAACCTCCACGTGGTGAGACTCGGGCAATCGATGTAATTTTCGTTTTCCAATCATTTAAGAATCGAAAGAAGCCTCTGATCGTTCTATAAAAGATTCGAAATCGATAATTACATCGAGCTAATAGCTGTGAAGTAGATTTTTCAAGTACATACGTCTTTTCCACTATTTTTTTGTGAAATTTGATTCATGGACGATAACGTATGTTACATACATATGTATATATGATAAATATAATTATATATATATATATATATATATATATATATATATATATTATATATTAAATAAAACAATATAAATTAGTCTCGTTACGAGAACTCGGTAGTCCAAGTGTTAATTCTTTTCCCTTTTTAAAGATACGTCGGTATTGCACTATCCAGATAATACTATTTCGTGTGAAATCAATAATAAAATATCCTCCAAATCACCGTCCTTTTCATTTCCTTTTTAGAACTATCACTATTGAATGTGAGAACGATATCAGTATAATGAAATTTAATCGGCATAATCGCCGAAGATCTCGTCGTTCTCCCCCGCACCCCGTTGCTTCGTGTCGAAAGAAAGCCGACGACTTTATTTTTTTTGTCCGCCGAGAGAGTAACAAAGGCCCACCCTAAGTATGCATGTGTGTGAGTACAGATATAGAGTTGGTGGTCGCTTTCACAGGTGGTTCATTGATCAGCGAGAAGCGTCGCCCAAGCAGGTCAACCGTGTATTGGTTTATTAGAGCGAGATCAAAAATAGGGGCGGATTTCCGAGAGCACGGAAGACAACGAA